AGTGTAGTTAGGAACAATGTGCATTTATGAAACATAGAAAGTGCTGCTTGCATTGTTTTCATTGTGAATAAAAAATGGACATGCTTCACTTCACAGCAGGTTTTCAATGTTATAACTTAAACTGGGATAGCACCATTATGTCTCTACAATGGTAACAAAACAAGTAACCCCACCCCCTCAAAAAAGGGGTACAAAAAAGAAAAAAACCTTCAAGTTTCAGGTTATGAAGTGAGAGTGTATGTGAGTAAGTGTCTGCCTTTGTGATTGGCTTTGTGATTGACTGGAGGTCTGTTCTTGACATACTGCCTCCATACATGACTAGCTCTTTGCCCTTGAAAATATAATCGATGTTCAAAGAATGTATGGAGTGACCTGGCTGACCTGGCTTAATCTTTATTGTAAGTAGTTGGATCAGAATCCAAGATTTGCCAACAAGGGTCGTTAACCAAGCTGATGGAGACTGATATAAGCATTTTTGTTGACATCCTTTTGTCTTAGAAAATCTAGGTTTTAATAAGTCATATCGGTTTCTTTGAGTAAATGGTGAAATACGATAAATAATGTTAAAAGAAAACAGGTGTATACGCTGGCATATATTGGACGAAAGGGCAGGTGAGACTCTGTGGCAATCTTATCTTATCTATCTTATCTATTCTGAAGTACCTAAACCGCAGGTATCAGAAAGGAGAGATACAGCATGGAGACTGAGAGAAGGCTTAGTTGTGACAACAGCAGATAAGCAAGATGGCAGGAAGGTGCAGAAAACCAGTGGATGATGGAAAAATAAGATGTAGATTAATGTGTGTGTGTGTGTGTGTGTGTGTTTGACTATGCATAGCATGTCAGGAGCTTTTTGGACTCTGGAGCTGTGATTCACCATAAACTGAGAAAATATCACAGTCGGAAATGGTCTAATTAAACCTGCTGGGGAGATTACTGTATGTGAAATGGAAAGTCTAAAACCTACCTAAATTGCCTGAACGTATATAATCAGAAAAGCTAGGAATTTCGACTCTTTAATGAAATATGATATGGTGATCTTTTGAAATTCAGATAGTAAAATTTAAGCCGCAGCTGAGATTGATGTAGATGCACGGATATCGGATATTGAATAAAAGGGGACATTTCAACTGATGATAGTGCAGTAAAATGATTTAAAGTATCACTCATGTCTTGGGAGCTGCGCACTAACAAGATCATAAATTTTACTACATTTATTTTAAAATTTATACATAGAGTTATGGATATATTTCCACTGAGGCTATTGGAGTGGTGGGCCAGAATACTTATTGCTTTGAGATCTACTTCTTCTAAGCTTTAGTGATTTCAAGCTCTGTCATTTGAGTCCAGAGGTGTTCATAGTGTAGGGGAGAGAAGTGGATCTTTATTAATGTTTAAAACCTGACAGCATAAAAAAAAAAACAATTTTTATTTTGTGGCCAGCTATCAAGAAGTAGAAATACAAAATGTTGCTAAAGACATAACATTTCTGGCTAGTTTGGAAAAATGCAGCCCAAACAATTGAACAAATTTGTGACATACTTTCCTGTTGAAAACAAAGGTTTGAATCATGACTACAGCAGGGTATTAATTTAGAGGACCTGGGCTTTATAGTAATAGCTTAAACTGATATAGGAAGAAGTTGGCTTTCTCAAAACATAAGTGTATTCAAAATGTTATGGCATCATGAGTAACATTAATAAATATCCAACACTCTTGCTAACTTTCATGTTTTGCGACCCAATGACACCATATGAATTTTAAATTACTATTTCAGAGAAAAAAGGAAGACGTACAATCGCTTTTTGTCCAATTTTAATGCTTATTCTTTTTATCTCTTCATTTTTTTTTCCTACTAGCTTTTAGGTCATGTGACTGAATGCCACGATTATGTAAAATCATTACACACTGGACAGATTATGAACACTTTTTAAAATCCAGCTGCATTGTATTTACTATTTTTATAAAGTTTTATGATGACAAGTATTATGATTTTTTTTCATTATCTATTAAATGGAAAAAAAAAGTTCAACCTTCAAAGTTACATTTATACAATGATCATTTTTATCCTTTTTTTTCACACCTAAAAAACAAGAAGATCTATTAAAGGCAAGAAGTGTAGTACCCTGGTTATTAAATCTGCACACCCTTCAGCTAGTACTCTTCTGAACTAAATTTTGATTACATTTCAGCATTTAGTCCTCTGTCTTGAGGATACAGTGAACCATTTTGGCTTTACTGACTGTATCTTAGCAAACGCTTCCAAATCTATCAGTGTGAGGATCTATATCTCACAGTCATCTTTAATTGATTTCACAGATTTTGTGTCAGATGTAGTTCTAAATTCTGCCTTGTTGAGAGCAATCTTCTGAGGCCTCTCTTGGTTTAGCCATTCAGATTGGACTTAAATGCTGAAAGATCAAATCAACCATCATGTTAAAACTGCTAGAACACACTTGAAAGGTTATGGGTTAAAAAAAACCACTCAGACATGGAACTAGTCATAATTTTATTTAACTTGACAGAGGCACCAGTACCATGTAAAGAAAAACAATCCCAAATCATAATGTTGTCTCTACCTTTAATCACTTTGAGACACATTTGTCTTTTGGAATTATGGTCACAGTTTCCTGTTTTGTTCCATCTGTACAGCCCCTTTTTTTATACATGAATTTTTCATACAATTATACAACTATACTGACTCACAATTAGTGGGTAAGTTAATTTAACTGTTGTATGTATCCTTTTTTAAATCACAATATCCTACATTTATCTGCCTATTTACATACAAGAAGTGGATACACACAAGCTCAAATGGCTTCAATTATTTTATCTGGTTCTACAACAACTTCCCTGGATTCAGAACTGTGGGAAAAGCAAGGAAGCTGAGAATACCAATAAGCAGTGGTGAAACTAATCATAACGTGAAAGTTAGGGATTCCATTAGAACAACAGCAAAACAATAAGCTACAATTGCCAGGATATCAAGAAAAACCCACAAATGTAAGATCAATTAACTAAAAGCAATGACAAAAAACATTCAGAACCAAGATATTTGGAATTTAAAAAATCTTGACTATCTATGACCACACTATCTATGACCACAACTGTAAATGCAACATTTAGATTGGAGTTAAAAAAGCTTATGATGTCAAGTAAGCAGCCACTGAAATCAAAATTGATCACTGGTTTTATGGGGATATATATGCTACACAGGCAAAGGGAAAGTCGTTCAAATTAAAAGGAATTACTTAACAGCCTAAAAACTGTGTATAAGATGTATCTGGACATTGCAACATAAAAATGTTCCAGAAGACCGGGACAGTCCACCAGTCATTGCCTGGTGAAGGGAAAAGTGAAGGTTCTGGTTGGTTGCCTCAGTCTCATTACATGAATATGATGTACTTTAGCCACTTTACGAAGATCTCAAATTTACTATTCATGTAATACAGCATGAGAATTTACAGGAACTGCAGGGTTTCTTGACAAGAGGAACGGCAGCAATAGCATGTGAGAAAATAAAACTCAAAACCACTGCATGACACAATTCACAATACATGTCAAGGCACTTTACAATTCAACCATATCATACAGTCAAATTGATTCAGATTTTTCTATCTTGGGAAAACCAGCTGATTGTATCGACTCATTGACTCGAAGGCAATCCATCACACCAAGCATGCTTGTAGCGACAGTGGAAAGGAAAAACTCCCTTTTAACAGGAATAAACCACCAGCAAAATCAGCTCTTCTGAAGGTTTCTTGGGGGTTCAAGGAGAAAGAAGCAGATATACAGATAGAAGCAGAGATACAAAAGGCAACTGTCAACCAGCTCCACAGGTTGCCCCATCCAGGAAACACACAGCCAGGCAGACAAGCGTTGAGTAGCTCCCATGTCAGAGGATGAAGAGAGCACATCCACTCAGTCACTGTCAGAGAAACAAGAATACACTGAAAAACAGGACGATCTCCTACATCTATAAACAAAGGTGTTGAAGGCAGCTGCACAGCTGATATTTCTCTCCAGGATGGTGTCACAGCCACACAGGAACAGACTAGATGAAGCTACTATGAGAAAAAGCAGAGAGAGCATAGCATTAGAGATTGAACTATCAAATCTGCACATTGGGAGAATAGAGATAGAATGAAACAGAATGATGAAAAGGAGTCCCTATGTCCTCCAGCAGTCTAAGTCTATAGCAGCATAGCTACAGAGATAGCTCAGGATAACCTGATCAACTCTGACTATAAGCTTTATCAAAAAAGTTTTTAAGCCTACCCTTAAAAGTAGACAGGGTGTGTTTCCACGGACTAAAACTGGTAGTTCGTTCCAGAGGAGAGGAGCCTGATAACTAAAAGATTTGCCTCCCATTCTGCTTTTAGAAATTGATAGGAAAAAATAGTGCTACATGCTGACCCACCATGTACCCCAGATTTAAGAATTTGATGATTTAAACATTAGATAAAGTTCATTTTGGTAGGTTATTCTGCCATTCTAAATTTTAACAAAGTAAATTCTTTTTTTTCTTTTTTTAATAAAATAATTCACTCTTTAAACTGTTGCTTTAGCTAAATAATGCTAATATGAACAACATTCTCCTAGGGCAGTTACATTTCATTCACAGTTAGTTCTCTCCAACTTATGTAGTTTCTTGCCATTGTTTGTCAGCGTACCTGTTTTGGGGTCTAGAATCTCATGCAATCAGGTTTTGATTTTTTTCTTTGCTCTCAGCAGTTAAATTTTTTTAATAGAAGCATAATACATGGTAAATGTCAAATGTTAGACACTCCCTCATGCTAATCAGAGAACCAGGGTTTTATTCATAACCTTAAGATCTGAAATGATTTACACTCAGTTACTGAAGCGTGAAGTGTTTTCTGTAGGGTGTGTACACATTTTATACCCACTTTAGAATAGATGTTAGGGAGCCCCAGAGGCAAAGTCACAGAGCAGAATAGGCTTTTTCAGTGAACTTATTTCTGTCTTTTTGTCTCTCTTAGGTTTTCCTTTGTGATTACTGGCAGGGAGAGAGAACTAACACTGACTCGGCCATTGGCTCTTCACTGTTTCTGGACAGAGTGAGGCTCCTTAAGCTTTTTTCCTGTCCATTGTGTTTGGAAGTAAAAAAAGAAAAGAAAAATCAAGCTTGTCTCCATAAAGACCTATTCAGAATCACCTTTCTTGGCCAGCGGCAATAGAATCATCCAAGAAGTGCAGTATCCCTCGCTCCAAGCTATTCCTTTATCCTCAGTCCCTTCTTTTCAAAACGCTTTACACCTATACATCCCCCTCAGCCTCTTTCCACTTTCCAGTCTTTTCTCCTATTTGAAGTCCCACATGACAGCCCAGAAACATCCGTTACCCTCCCTGCTCTCCTCTCTCTCCAGCCCCTGCGGTGCTTGGCACCAGTGCCCATCACATAGACAGATGGAGCCAACCCTGACCCCTCTCCTCGCCCATGGGGAAGCCAAGAGATTCAACGCCTGACTTGATGAGAGGGGTGGGGGTTGGACTGAGTGTAAGACTGTGCGTGAAGAAAAGTAACAGGAAGAGCAGAAGGAGAGCATCATATTGTCACCACGGCAACACATCACACCAAATCCTGTGGACTCCCTGTTAGACGTAGCCAAGGTTCTTAGATGAAATCACGCATAGCTGGAAAAACGGATTGGAAAGGACCTGATGTTTTCCCCTCAGCAACTTTTAACTTTTGGTGTTTAAATAATCTTGCATTAGTTTTTTCTCTATACAAGGTGTCATCAAAACACTCGATCAGTAGACTGAACATTAAACCAATCCTGGATTAAATTAAGCACTACATTTGGAAGCCAATTTAAAAATTGAGTGAAGAGGTGAGACAGTATGGTTTTTCAAGAGTTAATATCACCCAAGGAAACAAGAAGAAAGACATCTTATGGGCTTTCACACAACAATTGGAAATTAACTCCGCAGCAGCATCTGTTTAATTTTCCTGATGTCTGATTTTTTTTCTTGTTTCTTTTTCCATCAGTTTTGTTTTGCTGTTTTTCAACTTTCTCTGCTGATTATCGGGACCCTGATTACCATATAAAACCAGGCAACCAATTTTAAAAGAACTACGCATCACCAATAAAATGAGTCACTAATAGCCTGTGAAATGAATCCAGCTGGTCAACATAACAGAGGGGGGAATACAGGCATCCCAAAGCTCCCAGGTAATTGGAGTGCAGTATACAATGTTTTACTTTGAGGCACAGCTCCTCTGATGACCTTGCAGGCTGAAAACATTGAGCCAGCAGTTGCAGCAAAAAGAATGGTGGTTCTCTGTGACCAGGGTTTATAGTTGCAGTGTCTTTCTGGACTTTTCATCTTCACTATGTAAATTTGTCTCACTACAATGTCTAGCTTATTTTCATTTCATTTTACACTGCTGGTCTGAGCATCTGAACACACTTATTATTCCTTTCAGCGACATATAGATATTTAGAGACATATATAGATATACATATAACAGTGTCATATTTCTAAATTAAATAAGCTTTCATAATTATCTCGTGCAGGTTTGTACTCGTTTTAGAAGGTACTTTACAAAGTGAAACAAATTGACATTATCAGCAATTTGGGATAGTGTGTGATGCTAAATGAAATTGACCTTAAACCAAGAACTTCAATTGCCAGCAGTGTGACAATTTTACAACTTCCAAGCTTATGAAACAACATGGTTATCAAGTGCATGTTAGATCTTAGTGCATGTTAGATCTTAGGTGACGTGGGAAAAACATAAATTAAATTTGAGCAGAGGAAATTGAGCATAAACCCAAAAGCTTCCCAAAAGCTTTTAGATGATGAACAAAACACTGAACTCAAGCATCAATGCATAACATATAAGAGGGTAGTGATATATAAGTCCACAGCTCTAAAATGTTTAAATGGTGGTTTGTTAAGTGGAAGGAAGAAAATCAAGAGAAATGTTGTCTGAGATCAAGTTAAACAGATGTTGTAACTTTTACTCTCTTTCTGGCTAACATTACTTTATGTAGACAAATGCATTGCAATTGGTATCTGCTGTCTCTTCTGTGGTAAAATATATTTTATTCTCATTTGGTTATTTCTTTCTTTGTGCTCTTGAAGCCTGAATTCTACAGATTTTATGTAAGGCTGTCTCAGTGTTATCCAACTATTGTCTCAAGGTAAAGCAGGTTTCAAAAAGACTCTTTGAAGGTTTAGGAGAAAATTCTTCTCTTTACTTTCATAAAACTCAAAGTTGAAGTGCTCACTGTATCTCTTTTGTATTTCCAGTAAGTGGCCACACAGCCTTTCAACATATATTCTTTAGAAACCTTTTGTCTGCAAGGAAAACAGCTTATTTTTCTTTTTCAACTATTAGTAGACCTCTCTGGTCCAAACATGATGGTGTTTCTCTGTCTTAGAGAGGTAGCTTATGCAGTAGCTTAAAAAAGTATTTGAAAGAGTTTTAATCTTATTTGAAAACCCCTTAAAAGGTATTGTGTAATCAGTTAATTGAGATTTTTTTTTACATTTAAAATGTAATGTACCCTTCTTTAAAAAAAAAATTTGAATTACATTTTAGATTTTTTTTCTTTAGTCTTTTCCTTGCCCTGTTTTAAGCTTTTAACTAATCCTCGAGCAGATGTTTCACATAGTTGTGTGCCCAATTCCGAAACTAGAATGAGGTAAACAATGAACATCTAAGGACTGTAGAATTGCTCACATGAGCATAAGCACAGTGATGTTTTGAAATCTTAGTCCAAAGTTTATGAACAATTTTTCTTCATAGCTTTCTGTTTTTAAAAGGAGGCCCATAAACAGTAAAACCATGAGTCACTGCTTTGTTTGTACTGTTATTTATGACAACAATCTGATAAAACTGATATGAAAGAGTTTAGAGGTCACATAATGGATAAACCTAGAGAGGCAGACACAGCTCAATGGTCGAGCCTCTGTGTGTGTTTGAGGAGAAGAGACTGTGGCAAACACCGCAAGTAAGATATAGTTGTGTCATTAAGGCTTCGATTTTATCTTTGTTATGGTCTTTGTTGCATGCCGATGCTTCTGGTTCAATCTTTGGGTGGGTTCCTTATTTTATGTTCCTCTGGGCTGTTAAAAGAAATAAAAACAATATTTCTAAAAGAAAAGGGTAGCATGGATAAAGGCCTTAGTAAAAGTTAGCTTCAGTATAAAAGATTGTTCTCAGCTTCATACTTTGGATGGATCAACCCTTCAGACAGCATAACACACATTCACTCACAGTGTTTTTAATACAAAGTGAGGACCTGGCATTTACTCCAAGCCTAACCATGGCACTTACTGTACCATAAACCTAACCATCACTGGTGTCACTACACGATCCGTCCCGCCGGATCCTTTCTGCACATGGGCGAACAGAATTCCTTCTGGGTAGGCAATGCTTAGTTTTTCTTACTTTTTTATTCTTTTGTCTTTTTCTGCATATTCTAAAAACGAAAAAAGTGATACACTTAAATAGCCTTTCGAACTTTACTGTGACTGCTCTGAGCATGTCAGATGATGATGTCACGTAATACAATGGAGAGAATATAAAACGTATCCATTTCTTCCAGAAAAGTCTTCAATGTTTTCTATACAAGTAGTTTAACATTCTTTAATGTTTTAAGTATATAAAGAAGTTATTTCAGTACCATTATTATGTACGTTTTTGGCGATCCAGATCTTATTATTCTGTTTGCGCATGCGCAGGACGGATCGTGCTTCCAGGATGGATCGGATAGTGACAATTGGTACATTCCTCACCCTAACCTTACCCCTGAATTACACTCCTAAACCAAAGACTACAGTAGTAAAAGGGACTTGCCTTATATTTAAGTCCTCACTTTACCTGTAAAATACGCCAAATATATCCCCTCCTTGCTGCAAGTACAAGTACACACCCTTGCACACCCATACAACTCAATTATGGTGCTATTTCTGTGGCCTTACCTGTCACTGACACTGAGCTGAAACCTGTCGGGATTAATTAGCGGCTCACAAACACACACAAACAGGCCTTACTCTACCAGTGTATCTTTATTTGTGTCTTTGACAAACACGGCACAGTTACGCCATTAAAGTGATAAAAAGCACACAAAATGTTCATATGGCCACCTTTTACTATTCATTTATAAATTATGGTGTTGAAAAGAAACACATGCAGTATATGTGTGTGTGTGTTTTTCAGCCTAATTATTCATCAGACAGAATGCAGAGAGCTTCCAGGACAGCTTGTTGCCAATAAACACCTCCCACCCCCCTGCTCTGCTGTAATTACCTCACTCTTCATTTCACACCTTGGTTATGCACCCTATATCTCCTCGTGTCAGGGTGCTAGTGCTCTGTGTCAGCATAATGCAACACCTGTCAACTCCAACGTTTAGATACCTTGTTTTTTAAGACTTTTTTAAAAATATTTTAATAATGAAAAAGAAATCCGGAATAAATGTTTGTGGTTCCGATATAGGTAAACAAACAAAGCGCTAATCATAAAACTGAATGCAATATCATGTTTTGTTTACTTAGACTGTCATAGTTTGTTGTTTACCGGAGCGATATTTGTGTTTGGGAGATCAACGTCTGGTGAGGACAAGCTGTAACTCCTGTCAGCTTATGTTGGCATGCACAGGCCCATACTGTGCACTGCTGACTTTGATGGAAATAGAGCTGCTGACAGTTTTTTAAAGGCAAGCTGTTGACTGCCATAACCTTGTAGATGTTTAGTATCTGTGTGTAGTATATGTGTTAACATGATTTTTAAGAGGCTAGGAAATGTTATAAATAGCATTGCTGATGCAGAAATGCTGAGAGTCAGGGAAATGTGCCATCCATAACGATGATAATCTACATTATACATAAAACATAATAGCATCTTGCATGGGTGTTTGAAAGGAATTGTAAAAACATAAATGGAAAAAAAGTACTTTGTGTGTTTGCTCCTGAAGGTTGTTTCTGTCTTTACACCCAAATTGTTTATTCTATAGAAAGCTGATCCTTCTTTTTAGCAAGCCACTGTGGTGGCAGCTCATTACCATAGTGATAATGAAAAATAGAAAAGGTTGCTGGAGTCAGCAGGTTTTTTTTTTTCCACAGCAGGATGTTTTAGCGTACAGAAAAACAGCATCAGTTTGCGTAAAATAAGAGGTGGAACTCAACTAAATTGTGGCTAAAAACTTGCAACTTGATGCTAAAAAGAAAAAATACAGTTTCAGATGTTTTAAAATCTGTTTTATAAATGTGTTAGATTAAAAAATACACAATTTGAACTCTATATTTTTTTAAATCAGGTTGAAATTCTTTCCTTTATTCAACATAAAAGGTTAGATTCTTTATCTTGTGCTGAACAGACAACTTTACTAAGTGTTGTTTATTCAGTGAGTCTTTAATCATTTAGATCTAAACAGATTTAAGTTTTTGTGCACATTTAGGCAGTTTAGCCAAGTCTGTGTGGGTTTTTGTGGGGAAGAAATATCGAGGAGTACGAGATCTATTTCTGTGCAGTGATTTATTGTCTGGTTAGGAACAGAATAAATGTACCCAGTCAGTCATTGCAGTGTGCTTTCCACCGATCTAAGAATCAGTGGCAGAGAGGGCACCCATGAGAAAATACACCCCACACACCACTGAATATATGTCTGTCTTATCTTCCAGGTGACTGCCGCCGTGGAGGAACAAGCTAAAAATTCTGCTGCTGCTGCTTGGATTCTTTGCTTTGAATATTGATGCAGTAAAGGACAATTTGTATCCACTGGCAGTGAGCTTGAAAGATTTTCATTCACACAAAGGCAACAGACCTAAGCTGACTTTCTGGGACCTTCCTGTACACACTGGTGCACACCAGGCTTAGTCAAGTCTCATCAACTTCTGTCACATTTTAGATTTCCATTTAGAATTAGTTAGAGTGTTTTACGTTAAAAGTCTGCAATCTTCTTTTATCCTTTTCATCAAGAAATCCAGTATGGGCCAAGGTTATTGGTGGATTCCGCTTTTTTTTTAAGGGGCTCATCAATACTAATCAGGCTGGGACTAGCAGCAGGATGTCAGAGTTGGACAGCTTTCCACCTTTGAATGAAGACAGAGGCCCAGATCTAGGCCTGAATGGTCCAGCGGACCCAGTCCAAATTCAGCACAGCATCCTTGAGGAGCAGGTAGAGCTGTGGTGGTTCAGAGATCCCAGAAAGTCAGTACTTTGCTACTGCGTCGCTGTGCTGCTAATCCTGGGCTGCGGACTCGGAGGCGTCACCCTTCTTTCCACCACCACCAGTGTATCGAGTGAATGGAGGCTTGGTACTGGCACAGCCATGTGCCTTCTGGCTCTGGGGGTTCTTCTCAAACAACTACTCAGCTCAGCTGTACAGGACATGAACTGCGTTCGGAGCCGACGACAGATAGACATGTTAAAGAGTGGCGGCTTGTCGGACATTTTGGTTGTGTTAATCACAGGACTTTCACTGCTAATTTGTGGAGGAGTTCTTCTAAATTTGGCCCTGGTTTACGATATGCCAAAGCCAGGACAAGCCCTGAACGACATGTACATCTCTGGAGTGGTTTTGCTAGCAGGAGGAGGAGCGGCCGTGGTGGGCGTAGGAATATACACCGCGGTGGCTGTCCTACTTGAGAGGACAAGGCATGGACGAAGACTTGTAGACCGAGTTCTGAATGTGTTTACTGTGTCAGGACACATGGACCGCCATGCTCGCAGAGAGACTGCCTCAAGCTTGGCCAACCTAATATGAGACCCAACTGCAATAAAGCTGTGTGAACAGATTCCTCTCTCACCTTAATTAGAGCAAAATGTAACTTCAAAAGATTTTCCTGATGAAAAGAAAAGATGGACACCTCACCTGATTAAAATATGCATGACGGAAAATGAATGCATTTGTAACAAAGACATGATGGGTGTGTGATATGATCAGACACAGAGCAAAGGTAAAGTGAAGCACAACAAATGACAATGATAAGAAATAAAATATACACAATGTATATATATATATATATATATACACACACACTATAAAAAGACATTTTTATCTCCAAATCTTCCTTATACCAGTCGACCAAGAAGACTAACATTTTTTTTTCTTCAAAGTCAAAGCTACATAAAATAATATGCCTACCTATAAACAAGTTGAGAAAGCCCAGCTGACAATTTAGTGGCTTTGTAAGTGTCACAATATTTGAGTTAAAATGGGCACATCTGGTTGTATTTTAAGACAACATCTTCAACCTTGGACACTTGGGTATATTTTCAAAATGCTTGAAAGTTCAACATATATCTCTTTAAATAATTATATGCAAATATAATCAACATTAGAATGTACAATCACCATTCAGTTTGTGAAGTAAAATTTAATATTGCATTTTTGGTCATATTGATAAGAAGACAAGCTCAACTATGATGTATGGTTTACTTGAGCACTTCAGGAAGTAGATAGTGTCATTAGGAATGAATATTATCAGCCAAATGTCCAAAGAATGGACATAATTTGGTCTTTTAAAAGTATAATGATCGGTATCATAGCTCTAAAGTCATTATAAAGTTACTTATGGACCGACAAGTCAATATTTGGAGTGCCTATCTCAAAGCCTTGATCTCAACTCCATGGAAACTTCAGAGAGAACTGAAAACGTTTATTTAGGGTTATAAATTATTGTGTGGATGTGTGGGTGCAAGTTGTCAAAAAACAAAAATGATTTGGTTACCTAAGCACTGTCAGGAATAATGGGCCAAAATTCAAGCAAACTATCATGAGAAGCTGGTAGGCAAAAACTTAGACCCAAGTTATTTATTATTAAATAGAGTTCTGCCAAATATTAAGGAAATGTATGTTCACTGCTGAATCAAAGATAAAAAAAAAGAAAAAAAAAAGTACTTAAAATGAGAATTAGCAAAATAAAATAACTTTACTGATCTTACCCAACTAGAAAATATTGGGATACTTAATGCCAGAGAGTGATAAATAAATATGTATTATTTTATTTAAAAAATGGATACCTAACTGGTTAGAACTGTGTATGCATAAATTTGTGTAATAATGTAAAAAAAAAAGACCAAAATTGTATGAAAGCTGGCATAGAATTGTTAATTTATATAGAATTTCTGCCAAAAATTGAACAATTGATGAGAGGCTATTTTTGTTGAAAATTACATTAACTTAAAGTATTAATGGAATGATGAATATCAGTTTAAGTGAATCTGAATGTTCAGAGAAAACATACGTACATCTTTATCAGTTTAACACTGGAAGCAGCGGTTACTTTGTTGTTTAGTGGTTAAACACTTCTTAGTTAATGTCTTAAAATAAAATCTTGTTCTTTAAAGAGTTCATATTAATTTAAAAGTGGTAAATTATACAAATGAGAAAATACAGTATGAAAATATTTATTAATTTAAGTAATCTTTAGATTTTTTTTCCCAAGCTCTCCATATTAACAGCTATGAATCTATTCAGCTAGTGTAGGATTTTATAAACACCAGAACTTAATTGTTGCCAACTTTATTTTTTTCCTTGGTTTCTAAAAGTAATTTATTACACACTTTTTATTGGGAAACTAGCCATTAAAAGACTGCAGAATGCGTGGAGATTTTTTTATTTATTTATTTCGGCATTATTTGATTTGCTTAGAACAGTTATATATGTTTTCGATATCCCTACTCTTTCAGATTCTGATGTATCACCTAAAATGATCACTATAAATGTGACATGTGAGAAAATAGATGAACAAATATTGTTTACATCATTTCCTACATGGTGTTGGGTCCTTTTCATCTTTCAAATATATTTTAGCATCAAAGGTTGATTAAAGTTACAGAGTCACATAATTGGAGCTTGAGAAAAGAATTATATGAGATTGTTTTTTAAATGCAATACAAAGAAAAGCATTGCTGTTTGTACTGTGTCTACTATATTTTAATATAGGTGCAGTACTCATTGAGATGGTAATATTTTTTATCAATGCAACTCTTGGCATTCCAAAAATTTTAAGCCATCTTTTGGGAGGGATTGGAAGAACTAACTGTGTCCTAGCGGTTAATTTAAGGTGAAGTTAAAACATTATGAGGTAGTCCTCCCTTTGTATATCGTCCCAGTAAGTGTATTGTATGAGTACCACTGACAATAAAACAGGCTCTCAAATGAATGCAATCAACCCCACATTTGACTATTGCTGAAGGTCTCTTCCTTTCAAAAGTCTTACTGTGGAGACTGGCCAAAGAGACTCTCCCTCCTGTCTAAGTACATAACAGTTTAGTTGAATATTTTTTCTTTTTATTGTGTATCAACATCCCAACAACTTTGAAAGGATTTAGTTGCTTGGATAATAAAGTCACAGTGGAAATGGAACATTGAAAGTTCCCAAATAATATTATGTGGTTGTTAAAATTAAACAGAATTAAAAACATGTTAATGACCTGTGTGCTCCTTAACAGAAGATCTGTCTAGTCGAATTTTAGAACTTATAATGAGGCTATACACTGCCTCATGCAGAGGAGCTCAAATACCTAGGGGTATCTTTCATGTGTAAGGTGAGAACGATGGATACATGGATATAAAACCTTATCTACAGTTCTACAGGAATTGCTCCAGTCTGCTGAGATAATGAGGGAGGGTTGCCAAAAAGCAGTTACTTTAATAAATATAAAGCCTTTACTATTTGCAAAATTATTCATTTACTTTTCTATCAAACAATGCAAATTCTTCAATGATTATATTAATTCTTGTTATGATTCGCAAAACTTATTTCTTGTATATCACTACCTCATAACTTGACTTTGAAAAAAAATTTTAAGTTACATATGTTGATGTGACATTTGCTTTTTCAACAGCTTGGATTAAACTGGATATTCATCTTTGAAGTAATCATAACAGAAAATAAAGCCTAAATTAAACTAAATGCTTGTGTTAAGTTTTACCACCCAGAACTGAAATGGAAATGGACACAAATGTATATGATGTATTGGATAATTACTAAATTTTTCAACTGAAAGGTAGACACTGCTGCTTTGTTATAGTTATTCTGACCTGTTATTTTCGGGCATACACACAAGCACTCATCATGTTGCCTCAAGACAAAAAAGGGTAAGACAGTTACCCATTGTTGGTGAGATGAGGGATGCCGACTGAAAGCACAATGCACAAGTCAATGCTCTTTAGGGGCTGGTATAGGCTAGTACCACTTTCTTTCTCTGGACACAGAAAGAACAAAATCGTTCTCTGATGTTGTATATTTACAATAAAGGGCTCTGTTATAATTGTTTGTATAAGAACTGTGTTTTTGACCTGTGTTTACTGTAGAGTGAAAACTCCAGAAAAGGCAGTCAGTATTTGTATATTTTAAAGATAGCCCTTTGAGATGCGTTGTCTCATTTACAAGGGGGTACTTGCAGAACACATTGCTTCCCCAATACCAGCCTGCTTGTATATCAGAATACACTTTTTCATATACATTAATAACTACTACTGTATGTAGTACATACATACAGTATAGTAAACATGTATTCACTGTGCTTCATAAAACAAAGCAAAGACATGTAAATACAAGGTAAGAGATCATAAATTATCTGGGGAGTAAGATGAGAATAAATGACTCAAATAGAGAAAATAAGAAATTAAAAGCACGACCTGGGTGACTGACAATATGAAATGAGGCGATAGAACTGGGTTTTTCCAATCTAATGAAGCTGTAAACTGAAAAGCACAACTATTTTGTTCCTAATTTCTGGAGATGGAGAGAAATAGATGAGTGGTAATCCTTATGCAACAATGAGAGCTGATTGGAATTACATGTAGACTCTTTTTAACCCTTTCATGCATAGTGGTCACTACAGTGGACAGTTATTAAATGGTTGTTTTCTCTTAAATGAGCATGTTTTAATGTCACATTTGCACATATGTTACTACAGTGGACGCTAATGTATCATCCTGCCACTTGTCAAACTGCCACCTACTCGTCAGCCTTTGCAAGTGACTTTTTTTTTTCCCACAAAAAAACAAAATGGCCGACAGAGGAGCAAATGGGTTGTGAGGGAGAGGAATATCTGCTCATTCCTTCTATTCTAGGCGATCCTTGCAGGTAAAAAAAATATGGGGACATCAAGTATCAAGTATAAATTCCAAGAATTGATTCTGTGTTATTAAAAATTTGTAAGTAATGTGTCCACTAAGTTGGACATTATGCAACTCCCTAAAGAAAGCATATTTTTTTTTTAAATTGATGAAAATGTTTTTTTCATTCATAAAGAGTAATAAAAACACTTGGTAAAAAAATCATAACATATACTATCATAATTCATGCATGAAAGGGTTAAGTAGTTAGGCAAATTTATAAGCTGGCATAAACCAGATGGATATTGTGTAGAATTAAAATTAAACTGCACATATCCATCTCGAAAGCCTTGCAAAAGGGACATTCAGTACAATTCTTCAAGCTGATTTGGCTAATCTGGTGGCACGTACCTCCCATGTCAAGCATTTAGCCAATCACAGCAGCGGTGCCAGTTGTGCCGAATCATATTCTTGATTTGTTTCACAACTAGCAGAGTTAACTGATAAATCAAACTCCTACCAAATATGGTGTGGAGGAACACACAAACATCTTTCCTATCCACAAACGCAAAAATTGTGTCCTTTTGCTCCTTTTTCTTCTAAAAAGGAAATAGAGGGTATTCCAGCTAAAACAGCCATTTTTGTTTGGCTTCATTTTTCCACCTCAGGATGACGCGTTGACATTATACGTGTCATTACATTTCACTGGTCTGAAACATTTCTGTATTGGGGCTAGTTTGTGAATGTGGAAATCTTGCAACAATTCATCTTGTTGCAAGCAAATTTAAATAGACAAATCTGAAAGTAAATAACCAATGAAATTTCCTTTTGGCCGTATGAGTCAACTGATACAATGACTAAGAAAATAGCGAATCCTGTATTGAGACATCAGAAAAAAACTGACAAAGACTAATAAGAAAAACATTGAGGGGATTAGAATTTGTTTCAGGAGCACTGCAATAAATAACATCAAAATAATAAGATAAATTGTCTCTAGTAAATATATTTTCATACAATCTGGATTTATATCATTTAAATTAATCATTTTCTTTTAATGCTGTTAAATCTAAAAGATAATTACACCAACTGTTTGTATTCTTGTTAATAAAAGCTTATCTATAGATAACTATATTTGAACTAACTCATAAATTGTTGGCATTTAGTACTAAGTCTGCTGAATGTCCAAATTAGAGTAAATTACAGTGTCATCTGTATATAAATACATTTTACAGTAAGAATAGATATGTTAGAGGTAATTTAAGAAGAATGAAAATAGTATTGGACCAAGGGATGAACCTTGCAGTATCCCTTTTTCATAATTTCAACATCTAACTGGTTGACCTGAGAGAAAACACATTTACGAAGATAATAATAAAAAAAAAAGCTGTCAAAAAAAGGAGCAATTACATGTAGTTTTTCTAAAACTATTTAATGGTCGACCATGTCAAATGCTTTCGCAAGGGGGCTGAATACGTTCAAAAGGCACCGTAGGATTTGGTCATTTCAGCCATTTTAGCTCTCTGTTGGTGTTACATTCCATGCAGGGTTTTTTTCCCTCTCATGATGGCTCCTCCTTCCTTCTCTTCCATCTTCCCTCATCTGAGACATTCACCAAGTGCTGGTGTGTTCTTGGAGCTTGGATGTTTCATCTTCAACGTTGGCTCTGATGCTCACTGGGCCTCTGCCTCTTTCTTTTCTTCTATTTATTTTTATGTATAGTCTGTGGATAAGGTATTTGGGGTGGAATCCACCATACATGGTGAGCAGCTTTCATGTTTTAACAGTAATGGCCTGAATTTCCTCCAATGGCCAATTTATTACCCCAGTAGGGTATCGGATTACTGGCAAGGCATAGTTATTGGACCTTATTCTTGGCACTTAACTCACTATTGAGTAATTCCCTTATTTGTCGCAGGTATTTGGCTGTTGCTGTTTTCCTTGTAGCCTCTTCATGGTTGCCTGTGGTATTCCAAGGTACTTGTAGCTCTGTTTTGCATCTGCTATTCTCCATTATGGGAGTGCAATACCCTCTGTGTGGATAACCTTTCTTTTTGTCCCCATTTGGCCACATTTATCCAGGCCATATTCTATAAATCCTAGTGGAGTGGATCAGCAAGTCATTGTCTCACACGCTCTTAGCATACAGCTTTATGTCATCCATTTGCAGGAGATGGCTGATAGTGGCCAAAAGCGCTATTTAAGTACAGACCATTTACATTTGATGGAGATTTTCACGACTGACTTGGAATAGCCCTCAAGGGTGGTTTTCCAGAGCTCCATGAAGTTCGCAATGAAGGCTTTTAGAGGGCTGTTGACCTTGTATGGCTTCAGGCATTCCAGGATTTATATGTCTGACACTGAGTTGTAGGCTCTCTTGAAATCTCTTGAAAAATGCACAGGTTTGTTTGTGTGGTTTTGCAGTCTTGGAAAACTGTTCTGTCAACCTGCATTTGGTGTTTGGCTCCTCTGGTGTTTTTACCAATGCTTTTACGCACTACTGACTTGTTGATCCATATGCCCGGTTATCTTAGATGGTCTGATTCCTGATATGAAATGGCATGTTGTGGAGAAATAAGTTGTAGGCTAGCAGTTGGGTTATTGTTAGGTGTGTAGGAGAAGTCAGCATTTTCAGCCTGTAGGTATGGATCATGTCTAGGCCGTTTGCTGTCCACTTTTTCATAACTTAGATAGTCTCAGTTAAATGTCTGCCACTGTAATATTGACTGGACCTTCTACAGGGTGATCAGTGTGGTCTGTTCTTACATGTTTTATCCACTGTCAATCGTTGTTATTTGATACTTCTTTCTCCCAATCACTTTCCAGTACTGTTCCTTCACCAGACATGATGGGTTGGCTTGTGTGTTATTACCCTGTCACTTCGAGTACACCTTAGCTGCTTCAGTGGAGAACAGCCTGTTTATGCGCCTGGTTTCCATCTCTTTTTTATACCTATTCAGTCGAGCAGCCATGGCTGGGGAAGGCAAGTCTTTCTTTGGAAGTTTCCAGGGCCTCGTGGTCCTTATAGAGTTCTGAGTTGGCTTAATTTTATCCATGTTGCCTTGATTTTGGCTTTGAACCTCCTCCTCCATGGTGGACAATGTCCACTGTGGACGCTCTATTGTTATCTTGGCCAGGTATCTAAAGGACAGCTAATGCTATACTATATTAGGTCATAGGTTTCTGTGATCGTCACAGTGGTGATGTAACTTTTTGCTCTGTTAACATCATCCAGGAATCCAGCAGCTCTTAATTAAGACATGATCTTGTCTCTTAGGTCAGTGGTTCTCCATATTGATTCTTGCATAATTGGGGCAGGTCAGAAATACTGTTTTGGATAAGTTTAAAGCGGGATTTAGTTACCGGTACAAAAAAAATTTTAAGCTTTTAACATCCCAAAGAGCACTGTGCAAGTGATAATACTGTAACAAGAGTATTGCAAATCACAAAGACCCAACCATCTCTCTAAACTTTCAGCTAAAACTTGAAGAACACTGGTCAGAGATGTGGCCAATAGGCCCATGATCATTCTGGATGAAATGCAGAGATCTACAGCTGAGTTGGGAGACTCTGTCCATAGGACAACTATCAGTCGTAAAGTGCACAAATCTAGCCTTTATAAAAGAAAGCCATTTCTTAAAGATATCCATAAAAAGTCTTGTTTAAAGTTTGCCAGAAGCCACCTCAGAGACACATATACATACACACACACATTTTATATATATATATATATATATATATATATATATATATATATATATATATATATATATATATATATATATACAGGTGCTGGTCATAAAATTAGAATATCCTGAAAAAGTAGATTGATTTCAGTAATTCCATTTAAAAAGTGAAACTTGTATATTATATTCATACATTACATACAAACTCATATATTTCAGATGTTTATTTTGTTTAATTTTGATGATTACAAATGACAACAAATGAAAATCTCAAATTCATCATATCAGAAAATTAGAATATTACTGAAGACCAATAAAAACAAAGGATTTATAGAAATGTTGGCCAACTGAAAAGTATGAACATGAAAAGTATGAGCATGTACAGCACTCAGCATTTAGTTGGGCCTCCTTTGGCCTGTATTACTGCAGCAATGCGGCGTGGCATGGAGTCGATCAGTCTGTGGCACTGCTCAGGTGTTATGATAGCCCAGGTTGCTCTAATAGTGGCTTTTAGCTCTTCTGAATTGTTGGGTCTGGTGTATTGCATCTTCTTCTTCACAATACCCCATAGATTTTCTATGGGGTTAAGGTCAGGAGAGTTTGCTGGCCAATTAAGAACAGGGATACCATGGTCCTTCAACCAGGTACTGGTAGCTTTGGCACTGTGTGCAGGTGCCAAGTCCTGTTGGAAAATGAAATCTGCATCTCCAAAAAGTTGGTCAGCTGCAGGAAGCATGAAGTGCTCTAAAACTTCCTGGTATGTGGCTGCGTTGACCCTGGACCTCAGAAAACACAATGGACCAACACCAGCAGATGACATGGCACCCCAAACCATCACTGACTGTGGAAACTTTACACTGGACTTCAAGCAACGTGGATGAAGTGCCTCTCTTCTTTTCCTCCAGACTCTGGGACTTTGATTTCCAAAGGAAATGCAAAATTTACTTTCATCAGAGAACATGACTTTGGACCACTCACCAGCAGTCCAGTCCTGTTTCTCTTTAGCCCAGGCAAGACGCTTCTGACGCTGTCTGTGGTTCAAGAGTGGCTTGACACAAGGAATGCGACAGCAGAAACCCATGTCTTTCATACGTCTGTGTGTGGTGGTTCTTGAAGCACTCACTCCAGCTGCAGTCCACTCTTTGTGAATCTCCCCCACATTTTTGAATGGGTTTTGTTTCACAATCCTCTCCAGGGTGCGGTTATCTCTCTTGCTTGTACACTTTTTTCGACCACATCTTTTCCTTCCCTTCGCCTCTCTATTAATGTGCTTGGACACTGAGCTCTGTGAACAGCCAGCCTCTTTAGCGATGACCTTTTGTGTCTTGCCCTCCTTGTGCAAGGTGTCGATGGTCGTCTTTTGGACAACTGTCAAGTCAGCAGTCTTCCCCATGATTGTGTAGCCTATAGAACTAGACTGAAAGACCATTTAAAGGCTTTTGCAGGTGGTTTGAGTTAATTAGCTGATTAGAGTGTGGCACCAGGGGCCATCAATTTTGAACCTTTTCACAATATTCTAATTTTCTGATATGATGAATTTGAGATTTTCATTTGTTGTCATTTGTAATCATCAAAATTAAACAAAATAAACATCTGAAATATATGAGTTTGTATGTAATGTATGAATATAATATACAAGTTTCACTTTTTAAATGGAATTACTGAAATCAATCTACTTTTTCATGATATTCTAATTTTATGACCAGCACCTGTATATATAAGCTATTGAGCACAGTGTGACAGAATTGCAGTGTCTAATGTGAAGGTCAGCTGCCTCTTATTTAAATCAGCTGTGTTAAAACAATATACTTCTTTTACTGGTACTGCAGTAGTCAGACATGCAGTGTGCGCTTATACAGAAGAAGGCAACATAAGGAGACAGACAATAGCATAAGAGTAAGAGGTGTGCTGTCTGCACAGTCTCCAACACCCCACTTACAAACCAATTTATATCTGTGACTGTCTCAGTTAGCAACTCAGACAGCCTTGTGCTATTAATATACTGACGATCAAATGCGCAAAGGTACATTCCATCTGCTTTAAATGCTTAGAGGAGGTTTCTAAAAGCATGCAGAACAACTGTTGAAAACATTATGACCTAATTCAATTTATTATTTGAAGCACAGTACATAGAAACTTAGGATGCACTGAAGAAATTTGCACATTTCACATTTCTTACTTTACTGTTATATTAACCACATTTTAGTTCCATTTCACTTGGCAATACTCAAGTCCGGTTATTAACTCTGCTAAAATGTCTCAAAAACCAGCACATCCATCCCAGATCTAAAGTAATGTAGAATGAATTAGAAATTAATTAACTGATAGCCAATTCTAAGGTCAACAGATGCCCTGCACCTTCCTCTAATTCATAGAACTAAGAATTGTTCTCACCTGTCAGGGATTCCTGACTTTCATGTTGCTCATTTAAACTTCCGCATATAGATCTTGCAAAAAGCCATTGAACTTAAACATAATAGCTTGTCCACATGAGGATGGTCAAAAAAGAACATTAAAATTATTATGCCACTTATGTTCAAACTCTCAGGTTTGGTGAGACAAATCAGAGTGGCTGATAAAGCTTCATGAAGGAAGTTTGTTAAAGGCGGGGCCTTAGGAAGCAAGTATGTTCAGATCATGCTTTCTCTAGATAATTTTTTACAGATTCCTTGCCTGTAATAAAAATCAATAAAAATATCTAAAGTATTTTGTAACTGCTGCATGTTTTGCTTAACATAATCCATACGCATTGATGCAAATATTATTGGACTTCTGTTATACCATTAAAACTCAGGATGTACTGTTTATCCTTTTTCTTAATACAATGTATGTGATTGATGAGTAGACATGCTTCAAATATTAACACTTGAAGACAGTAAATTCACTATTTAATCCTGAAAATGAATGCACTAAAACCTACTCCACGGTGAGGTAAAAGACTCATCTGCAGTTTTGCTCAAAATGACCAGTTGTTGAAATTTGAGAAAAGCATTTTTCACAAAGAGTGAAGTAGTGTTGTACAGCTATTTTTCTTTAATAAAAGAAATGATCAGAAAACAGTGTTGTGTATTTAGTTATATTATTTGTTATATTGAAGTTAGTTTAACCTTTTAAGCATAGAGAGGTGAGACAAAATAAAAATATCTAGTTGTTCAAATCTGATAATCATGCCCCAAAATACCTCTCTTGAGAAGAGGAGCTTGTATTAAATGTTGACCTAGGGAAGTAAAAACCAATGCATGCCACACTTAACCAATTTGTCAAAATCTGTGAAAGAAACCCAGAATAATTTCCTTCCACTTTCCAGGCTACCTTGACTTTGTAACAGTCTGTTATAAAAATTTGCACCAAAATTAATTTGTGGCTGCAGTATGTCACTACATTGTGTCTTTCAGTCACAAGCATAAGGTAGATTTGCTCTTTGCATTTATTTAATGTTGTCATCTCTCCCAAAACCCAACTCAGAGACTGAGATATCATTTTTTTTTTCATTCAGCAAAAACAAAGTCATTAAGCAAGAATGCAAATGGGCACATTTCCCCAAAATCTCACTTTTTTAATATTTGTAGAGAAGTTTGTCCACCAGTGGCAGCCGCGGCTTTCAATCGTGATAATTAAATTCAAACATCATGTATTGGATAAACAAATATTGAAATGCACATTAATACAACTGGTGAAAATAGCTGTTCTGAAGAACTCTGAAATAAACTCCAGAAACTACGGCAAGAGTTCAGCACAAGATGACTGCTCTGACTGAATGATCCTTAATCTCTTGTTACTCTTGTTATGTATGCCAATCAGCAGTTTAATGACTACATTTATGAAGTTTGGCAATTCATATTTTACCATTAATTTACCAAAATTTATAGTTGAGGTTTAGCTTCCCTAGTATTCAATGAGAAATCACAGATGGAATGCATGCAATTGTTAACACAATTAAAAGTTCGTCCAGTAAAAATTAAGACATTTTCCAAAACAGGTTACAAAAAATGTTTATTTCAAATATATCCCTTTGTTTCCTATGGACAAGCAGTCGATAAATAAATTTGACACAATAGCAAAAAATCCCCACCTATTTTTGTGCAGATGACTAATACAGGCCTTTATAAAACACATCCTAAAAACTACTATTTTGAACAATTCATCTGATATAATGTGATTCAAAATAACACGGCGAGTCATGAGTTGATAGAATGATCTCAAAAAATGACAATTTATAAAATCAAAACTTTGCAAAGAAAAGTTGTTGTTTTTTATATCTCTGCTGTGACACTGTTAAAACTTCATTAATCCTATTTGTTCTTTGATTCTTGAATCCAAAGTGGACTGAAACTTGCAGTATAAACAAGATATAACATTAAGAATTTTTTCCCCCTATGCTTCTTCCTGGAGAGTCCCAAAGCCGTAAAGCTGATTTAAACAACAGGGACACAGTTACAACCCCAGTAAGTCTTCGGTTTTATCTTACAGTCAATGCCTCTGACAATATTGTGCCTTATTAATCATTGAACTGGTGGCTGGTGTTGGGTTCATTGCACAGAGGATTATGTTCACAGTGCCTTTTGTGATGGCAGTCATTTCCAGGGACCTAAACTTGTATTGCGGTTCAGGTAGAATACATATATACAAGATAAAATTGTATCAGAGCAAAGTTTTATGGTGATACAAGTGTTAATGACAAATATAAAGGGAGATGAGGGTCATGGCAGTGTAAGTCAACCAATTTAAAGCTGTGTTTATGATCCTACATAAAAGAACACATTATTTTCTCCACTAAAGAATTAAGACTAAGAATAAGATTGTTTCCAATTTTATCACATCACCAATCTTCATTATTCGTGTCCCGTTTGGAAATAAAAACGTGTCTTAGAACTGAGCTACTCTTGCACCATGTAATCACGTAAATTACATGCTACAAACAAGAGAAAATAAATCACATTGCAGTTTGATTATATAATAAAGATGATATCTTGTGCAACACTTAAAGCTCTTTTATATTTTTACTGAAGCTATGCCCTTAATCAAGTTAGCGGAATGGGACGTTAAAAATCCTGTTAATTTGTGAAATATTTATGAAATGAATTAAACTTAAATGTAGGGCACTGGGAGCAAAAGTCTGACTTTACAATTTATTATTATTGTGATGAAAATGTTTCAGTAAAGTCTTGAACAACCAGTAGATGAATTCTAGGTCAAAGGTGAAACAACACTTCTTCCATCTTTGAGTTGCAGATGACCTGACTTCTAGTTTCCATTTACAGTGGAGAAAATGTTCAGACGTCCTCCTGTTCTTGCCCTCAGCTGTCATCTGCTGACTCCAAACTGGAGAAATGGAGACAGACAAGATGGAGACAGGCAGAAGGAGAAACTACATATTCGTCTAGCAGCAGCTGCTGTGCCCTTTAGTTCGTCCGGAGCTGGTAATCTGCCAAGAAAGGTAACAGTGGAGTATTAACGGTGTTCCTTCAGCACCCCTGAAAGTCGCATTACTTCCATCAGAAGTGCCATTAAATCCACAAACAAGATTTGCACCACTTCAAGGAGCAGGTGCACCTCAATAAATCATCTGATAAATTCTAAATGAAGCGTTGTGAAGGTTGTCTCCCAGATAAAATTTAAATATCACTTTGAGTCACATTTATGATTAAACATCAGATCTTCTATACCTCAAGTAAATCATATTTTCTGCCTCAGCACTGCAGTGAATAAATTCACTCATCGAATTTTCAATAAGACAAATGAGCTTAGCTTTTGTTTTCAGGGGGATAAAGCTCAACTTCATTTGACAAATCTATTAGGTTTATTTCAGCATCATCCACAATATACATTGCCCCCCCCCACCATATAAAAGGAACCACAGGTAAATGTGAAAAAAATCAAAATGAAATCACAGATTTAGTTTCAATGTGACAAAGTTGACACTATGAACTACTGTTTGCTGCACATAAGTGATTCCAAATCAAGAATCAAATCCATTGCATTCAAAACATACACAACAAAATGAGAAGCTTCCAGGTATAAATAGTAATCAAACACAATTGGAAGCACACAAATTTTTGCTTTGCTGCAGCTTCTTGGCAGAGGAGAAAAAAAAAATAGAAACAACAATATTATTTCTATATTTTAAAACCGTTTTTACACCAAGAAAGAAGCAATCAAACCACTGGCATAGCTTCTGTCGACTGTTACTGTCACATGCGCAAAGAAACTGCACACATCCAAGTTATTTTTAAATCACTACTGAAACACATTAAAGCATTTCCAAAACCTAAAAAAAAACATCCATTAATAGTAGCTCAGTTTTACATATCGGGCCGATATTAATGGCAAAATATTGTGCATCCCTTGTTTCCCACAACAATGTCTCTTAAAGTAAATGTCTGGTACAAGAGTATTGCATTACACTTCCCTGGAATATATTTTAAAATTTACACTTCTAAAATTATGCATAGTTTATTTAAGTATCACTGCCAACAGATGCTCCAATAAAACTGGCTTTATTTATCACCGGTTTTATGTACAAGCAGTGTTGTTCGAATTCTCATAATCTCTTCCGTTAGCACATTTATTGACATTAACTGTGATGAAAAAGCAGTGTGATGCAACAATCGCAGCAGGATCAAACAAAAATCGTCCGACAATATTAAAAGACAATATTGACAAATTGAATCAGACATTAAGTTCAGGGGTTCAGCAGTAAATATTGACTATATATATATTGAAATACATTGATGTAATTATGCCTCATGACAGCTGAGCTGTTGTCATTTCTGTTCTATAGTTTTTACTGTTGTTTTGTCTGTGATTGGGTTTTTGAATCACAAAGCTAAATAAAGATTTAAAAATGTAAATTAAGGTAACTCCTACTCCCTATAGTGCTAGGCCAGAGACATATAGTACATTCAAGCATGGTTGTACTTAGATTTTAAGGAAATGCATCTACAGCATGGATGCAATGTAGGTTCTTTGCAAAGACCTCCAGTCTACAAAAAGCCTGAACACTATATAAAGTTTCCTGGGACTTAACCTGAACCTACTTCTGCAGGAGAGTGTGCTGTATTATTTACTAACCTTCGCTGTGGTATAAGAAATGTAATTAATTTAATTTTCCAGGTACCCTCTAAAAAATATTTATTCTAAAATTGACCTGTAATTTACTCTAGAAAATAATTAACAAATTCTTAAAGCATCAACATTAATACCTACCATTAATGTATAATTGTGCTCCATACTGGCTTATTGCTGTAGAGTACAAGTGAATGTCTGCTCAGACTTTAATAAGTCAGCACCTTCAGTCTACAGCATCAGGGCATTATTTAATCAGCATGAAAGTAGTGGTGAGTGAAATTAGATCTTGTCCCTCTCCCTCTCTGTGCTGTTGAAACAACAGAGATAGGTGATAGCATTGTCTTCAGTCACCATAACTCCCATCACTTTTCCTGCTTTTTTCTTTACTCTCGTCCTCCTTTTTGCCCCATTCTACTTGTTCTTCTACCTCCTTGCTGAAGTTGCAGCAGGAAGAGAGAGGGGCAAAGGCGTTTGCAAAGCCACCCTGGGAGCCCTTTGGCATCATTCAACCTCTTCAGTTCCTGACACACAGCTGACAAAGCTAGGTAATGAATATGACTGATGCAATGGAGATGGTTTTTATCCCTCTGGATAGCAGGTTTGAAATTTAAGTATTTCTGGCTGCTTTCCAGCATGAGATTTGTCCTCCATCTTCATATTATTTCTGTTTGTGCCCTTTGTGAACCCAGTGGGGTGGGACAGAGGATTATGCTGAAGAATATTACTTTATTGTGGCCCTAATCCTATCCTATGAACTGCTTTGTAATATTCTCAAAAATCCAACATGTTTGGAGAAAAGATTTGATGACATGTTAAATGTACTGTCAGGTTTCTGGACACATAGGTCTCAGAGCTGACAGATGTTAGATTATCTTGTCCTGGGTTCATTCCTCAAGTTTGAGAGATGACAGTTTATTTAAGGGGTTGGTCTTATTAGATCCCTTTTCGGGTATAAGCCTTGTTCAGAAAAACAAAAGTGGAGAATTTCATGTCTAACAGAGGACAGTTTGTAACATTTCCTGCCTTTTTTTAAAGCTCTTAACTTTTCTAAGCCCTGGATGGCTTGGCCTGTCAGAGCACAGTAGAGCAAGAACCAGGTAACAGATATGATGGAAGTTATCCAGCTCAGTCAACTCTGAGGTCTTGCTTTGAATATTAATGCTGGGGCAAATTCTTATTCTAATGTTTAATTGCTTTTGAATTCTTCCTTACAAAATTCAATTTATTGATAGATTCACACAAGCAGATTTCTATGTCAATCTTGGATTCACTAAAACAGGTATGGACTGATGGAAGCAAAAATGGATACATGTGGAACAATTTGACGAGGGTTGGATATACTACTGGGAATTCACATGTCATTCCTCTATATAAAAAATAAATAAATAAAAAATGTACTCATGAATCCAGGTCAATCAAAGTGTGTGTGTTTGTTTTTCATGGCATGTTTACTTGTGTTTATTCCCTTACCTCCACTTTGTGTGATGTAGCGCACCCATGGCAAAGCCTGGTAACCACTCTTCTCTATGATCTTTAGGTAGCGCACCTAGGGAACAAAGGCATGTTAGTTATAATTATTTCACTGATCTACACACATGCAAATGCATTGTTTGTTAGAAATAGTCTGGATTTAAGTCTCATTTACCTGTAGTGTGGAGTCATTTTTTTTTCTAATGAAGTAAGAATATTAAATTATATACCAGAATTCTTAAAAGTAAGATTTAAGAATAAAGAATAACTTTGGCATAGAAGAATAAATAAATCAGTGTGTTCATTCTTTATTCCCAGTAACAGACTCAATGCTTTCTTAGTTACAGTTATTTAAAGGTATAGTGGAGGATTTTCCCAAATTTTTGAAAAGACCTGAGAGCATGCATGAGCCCGTTTCTCCTTATGCATGCTCTATTTAAAAGTTGCTGTTTGCATCGCTCTTACAAACTTACTTTCCAAAAGATTTAAAAATGTTCCACTATGTCAAACTCAACACCGGTAAGTGAAAATTTATACAAGTAGGACAGCCTTGTGTAAACAAATCCCTAGATTGATTGGCAATTAGGAGGACCACTTATTTTGATGATCCACCCAGAAAAAGAACATCCTCCACTATAACTTTAAACTGTTGCAGCAGCAACCACTACCTCCCAGACACTATAAAGAGAGATGAACTGTTTTACCATAGAGAATGGTTACTACTTCTGCCACAAGCCCATTCATCTGGTCTCTTATCTCAGCATATAATAACTTCTGAAAATTTTGTCAGCTGATGTTTCTTGTGGTGACCAGGTATAGCCTTCCTCATCTCAGGGCAACAAAAGAAAAAATTGTACTTTTTGACTTTTTGACTCTGTGTAGGTTGCAGTTCTATATGTCAGTTGAGGCGAATGGGTTCCTTAAGTAGAAATCGAGTGTTATTGAAGAGCTCTACCTGAATCCCAGAGACGGTGAAATAAGGGATCTCAAAATCGACAGTGATCGGTCTCTTTGCTTCCAACTCATCGGCCTCTACACTTGGCAGCCCAAAGTGTGCCCGCATCACGTACTCTTTCCCACCCTACAAACAGAAAAAAGAAAGGGCCACTGATTAATTATTAAAATTAAGAACAAGCCCTAGAGTTACCACAACAAATAATTAAAAAAAATGTATTAAAGGTAACAACAGACAACTCCCTCAGTCATAACAAGGGAAATTATTTTATAGAACTTAAGAGTCTAGCAAATAAAGCTCTGAAAGAGACACAAACAAAAAAAAGGTTAATCATTGTTCAGAACACAGACTTTATCATTTTGTACTTTGGTTTTATTACCAGGATATCAGTTATTGCCACTTCTGACTTTGAAGCCTTTCAAAAATCAAGTACTTCTCTATGTACTTTTTAATATTCACCCCACGTACAGAAGGAAAAATGACTTTAAATCTGGCGGGACAATAGTACAGCCATGCAGTTTTCCAAGTGTCACAGCAGACTGATAAATAGTTAGATGATAGGTCTGCTGATTTTCTAAAAAGCTTCTGCTTTAACCCAAGCGATGAAGAATAAAGTCACCTATGATTAATGAAAAAGGTATTCAAACTATGCATGCATGTATTCAGAAATAGGTCTTTGTTTTTTGTAAAATAGCATTGCAAAGCAGGATTTAACAGGATTTTAATATTTACTGGCCTTTATTTTTCCTTCTATTTCATTCTTTAATTCATGTAAAGCACTTTGGATTGTCTTTGTACCGAATTGTTCTATATAAATAAACGTGCTTTGTATTGCCATACTTGGAAGCAAACAAAGCTGACGGTTTGTGATTTCAACCAGCAACTGCATTGTTTGTTTACTCAACCTACTTCATTAATTTCTTGTTAACTGTGGTTGTCTGGGAGAATGTACAATTTTATAGAGTTCAAAGGTGAATAATAGCATGGAAAAATCTTTGAGTCACACATGAGCTGGATAACAGAATGACATCAGTAATTCCTAACTTCTCCTGACAGGCCGAAGGTGCAATGAATTACAGAAGAGATATCAGAACTTGACAGATTAAAGGAGCCTTGGCTGAATTAATGCGCTTCAAGTTTTTTTTATCAAAGTCTGTGAGAAATTCATTAAAACAGTCTTTAAAGCAGAGAATCCCAGGGAAATTTAAATGAACAGCAGAGAGGAAATTGATGAAAATTTGTGTGAAGAGGTCAGAAAATCCATCCTGTCGAAGGTTTATCTGAGCACAGCTTAATTTTGTCAATAGCATTGATGTGTTAATGTGCATACATATGTTTCTTAAGCAGTGTATTAAAACCTTACAGATCACATAGAGATAAACAAAACAACCACATACAAACAAAAGCAGTACTTGCACCACCTGCAGTTGGAATTGTGGAAATGGATTTAGATATATTCACATTTAAAGGTTTAAGAAAAATAGAAAGGTCACACTAACAGGGAAAGTCCTGATGTTCCACTGCACAGCACTCTTCTCAGGCACCCACTTGGCACTGCCAGTGCTGGTCTTGAACTTGGGTGAGTCAGCATCACTGGGCACCGGCACCATAATGGACACATTGTTGGCAGAGGAGCGGCTCTTAAACTGACTACGAGCCTGTAGACAGGGGACAGGGTTAAAAGGTCATCCAAAGGTCATCCAAGTGATTTTTAAATGAATTACATTCTAAAATTGTGCAGATTTTAACTTTGAATAAATATAGCCCTCAAACCATCTGGGAAATGCAAATCCATTGGAAATGTATGTCTTATTAATAAAGTAACATAATTCTGCACAACTGTAAAGCAAAAGGAAAGGAATACTTAATTTCTAAACAGGAAAAATTTGGATATATATACATTCTGTCAAGAACCGCGTTTCAGTGGTACAAAACTGTAAATGTTTTGGATAATATATAACCTTTAATAACTCTGCCTTTGCAAATGTTTTTTTGTTTTTTTTCCTCAATAGCTCCAAATCAGTCTGATGCAGAGTGTTTTTTAAGGCAAATCATCTCACACCAGAGATTTTCAGTTAGAATTAGGACTGGACTTTGGCTGAGTTATTCCATCAGTAAAAGTTGTATGTTAATGATTGTTTTCCTGGTGAAAAGTGTACCTCTCCCCATTCTGAGATGTTTTTCAGTCCAGCATGAACATCTTGAAGATTGGCTTGCATTTAGCCCAATCTTCAACTGTTACTTTCGAGATATGCTGTGTAAATGGTGTAAGTTGGTCTGGCTTGCCAGGCCAGTGTTTAGGAAGATGTGTGTTCTTTGTTAGCCTGCAATACCTGATACTGGTCTATGCCTCAGAAAGGGAGGCAGTTCGGGCAAATTTTTAGCCTGGCTGAACAGGCGAGATGTTCTGTTCCCCTGATTTATGCTCTTCTTCTGCATCAGTTCAAGTAGAGACATTTTATTTTGTATTTAATGATTGAATGGTCTTTTCTGTAAGACTTTTAAAGATTGGAATGTTGCTTTCAGCCTAACATTAATTACTTTAAAATGGTATCCCTTTGTTTTATGTGTGTGTGTTTGTGGTTGGATGCTGTTTGAAAAAATAATTTTTCCTACAGAAAATCCAATTTTAGATTGAGTTTCAAACAGTTTCAACCCCCGGCATATAAATACGGGCATATAAATGCGGGGCACTGTAATTAGGGTATCACTTGTCCTTACCTTTACTTTGATCTCCACACGGCTGTGAGAAAACTTTTCAATAACGCTCTCGATCCATATAAGAGGCTTCATCTGTCAAGAGACACGGTGAACAAGGTCAGAAGTCGATTACAATACGTCGTAAATAAAGCTGACAAAAGGGAAAAAAAACATGCTGTGTTTCTGAAAAAGAATAAACAACTTAAAACAGACATTTTATGCTGGATTTTAGGACTAGAGAGGTTTTAACGAAATTTTTGAAAGAAAATGAACCAAGGTCAGTACACACAAGCTTTTAAAACTTATTTTTCCTCATTAACAATGGCAGCTCAAAAAAAAAAGAAGCAATTTAAGAACAGTCTTAAATAGAAAAAGAGAACAAACAAGAAAGGAAACATATACCTGCTGTCTTAACTTTTAGCAGGAAGGTTTTGGTTCTTTTTGAGCAGAATAATTTAAGTAGCCAGAGGGAATAGTGCTCAAAGAATCCGAAATCTGGTTCTCCATGATGGTAGAGAGCTGATCCCATAAGACATAGTTAAACTTGTATTTGTTTTACAGATATTATCATCACTCTATAATAATACATACACAACTATATCCAACAAAATTCAACAACTTCTTGCTAATAGTGGAAGAAAGTGAGACATTTCACCAATGGAGCAAGACAATTTACATTGAAAATAAGAAAAAACAATTGCATTGTCATATTTCAAGTGCATATTATCTAATTATCTTATTACAAGAGTAAAAATACTCATTCCAATGGCAAACTATCTCGTTTATCTACTCAAATTAAGGGTAAATACACCTAATTTAAAAAATCTTTACTTATTTCTAGATCATTTTTCCAGCATATACACGTGTAAACGGATAAAACAGGTGTGTGCAATATGGAAATGGTTTTGGATGAACATAAGAGCATCAATTGTAAAGGTGTGTGAAGCTGAATGCTGCATGATAGGAATAATTGATGTGTTCTTGACTCTGGTCATCTACAGTATCAGTATGTCTGCTCTTTACAAATCTGTTCGCATGTCCCACTCACTGTTGTATTGAGGCGGTACGACATGAGCTCGCTCTCGCCATCAGGGGGAATGAAAGAAATGGTACGGTCATTCTCGAAGCGCGACAGACGGACGCACTGATGAAACTTTACGTCTTCCAACTCCACCGTCTTGCTCTTCTCTCCTACCAAACACAAATGAAAATATTTGAGGCAGTCCTAGGGAACGTCAAGGTCAAGGCAATGAGAGACAAACAAGCTCTTCATCTCAAACACACCATGAGCATTAGACTTCAACATCCATTTACCTTTCTCCCTCACAATACAAATAGTCTGAAGTCACACAAAAACATGCAAACAGTTTATCCTCAGAACCTCCAGCAATCATCTACTCATCTCACAGGAAAATTCAGATTCTTTGAAATATAAAATAAATGTGATTTTATACAAATACTTTTTTATTACTTAATTAATTATGATATAACATTTAAAAAAAGCCTGATGTTTGTTTATATACAAACACATTTAATCTTGTATCAGTTATATTGAACAGTTGTTAGCAGCTGATGAGTTATCTTCCAAGTTTCATTATTAATTTCAAAATATCTAACATGGAGAATCCAGTGTTCTTCTTAAATATCTACAAAATATTGTTCTCACAAGCAAGGGGAGAGTCCAAGCCCGCAGAATGTAAAAGCGGACCTCTTTAAGTCAGTACCTATAGTCTGATGCAAAAAGCTCACCGTTTCCCTCCACCGTGGATAATAGAGGGTGCTGAGTGGTGAAAAACGGCTGTAATGACTGTGGGCCTCTGGGCCCTTGGCTAAATCCTCCTATTTAACAGTCAGACAAAACTTGCCTTACGTTCTCTAAATGCAACGCTGGAACATCACTAAGGGCTTTTGGAGAGAAAAACGTGGAAGAATGAGTGCATATTTACGTATGCAGCTACCTTCTTCAATGTTCTATTGAGTGTGTGAACGTGCAAAGGTTTATGCATCTCCTGTCTGTGTGGATGTGAGAAACCCGCCTGTTTCACTATTGATTTTGGTTCCTGTTTGCTCCCTTGTATGTATATGTGTGACATTCAAAGTCTGGACTGGATGAGGTCAGGTCTAAACTGAACACAGCTCTTTTAGTTAGGCAATGTAGAAAAGTCCTTTGAAGATGCTTCTGGTTGTTTCTTTAGTTAGCAACACAGCCATGCCATGCCTTGCATGCAGCATCATCAGCACAAGAGAGAAAGGAAAGGTCAGATGGAATGGTTGTCTTTGCTTTACGTTGCTCAAACCGTAGAGGCTAGTGGAAAAGACAAATGCTTGTTTTCATGTCAGCGGGGGATTCATGATGCAGGCAAATCCCTTGTGTGTTTCCATGCTCTTTGTCTACAGAAGTAGACGGACAGAACCTTATCAGGTCTGCCTTTATCAAGAAACATGTTTTCATCTGACATTTGGTAGATCTTCAGTTCATCTTGCACTTGTCTGGGCTTGTGACAATTTACGCAACTAGAATGTCAATTTTCTTTTGCAGGATGGTCTTTTTGTTTATAAACAACCTCTTGGTATATTTTTTCATTATTTAAACCCCAAGTGTAGGTAATTTTTTAAAGTAACCCCTTGTCACATAAAATAGAACTGGAACCCTCCTGTTTAGAATCCTCCTGTAACCATAAGCAGGTTCTGCAACAGTAAGGATGGGACAGCTCATTGGTTTTGGCCATCAGCACATGTGTCTTGTGAGACACCATGGTAATGAGACATTTTTATAGCCCATCAGTTGAGACTCTACCAGAGGACCTTAATTTATTCTAAATGGCATTACCTTTCAATTACTGAGGGATTTTAGATGAGGCCAGAATGTTTCAAGCCTTTTTGCACTTTGTTTCTACTTTTACTTAATACTTTCTACTCTTATTTTATTCTATTGGATCATTTACGGACATGAAATATGTATAAACGTTGATGAGATTTTGCTCTCAATTGCACCTCGTGAAATATATTTACCTGCGAGTCTGGTGTTTTTTTTTTCAGTATTTAATTAAATTGCTGTAAGTCTCTGTGCTGTAAACGAAATATAATGAAACAGAATGCCTGTTTACGGTCCTTAGATCCTCCAGACACAGCCTGGCATGGAGCTTTGAGATTCCACACAAAATTTAAAATCCACCTGCCTTAGCACATATTCTACTCCTACATCAGATGGTCCAATGATGAGTAAAATAATCAATCTGCTGAAATGTGCACATTTGACAGTATTCCACTTTAATGGAAAGATAATATTTCTCAGTTGTGTTGTGGCAGTTCCAACCTTGGGCCAGTAGAGGGCAGCAACAAATGATTTTTACCCCTACTCCCATGTGTAACCATCTGGAAGGAGTACAGACGGATGCAGGAGGATATTTACACATGGCTAAACAGATTATAGTAAAGAAAAAAAAAAGCATGAATACCAAAGATAAGAGAGGCTGTGATTTTTTTAGATTAATATTCATTGCAAGTTTGCTTCCATTTCTGCCCGTGTGTTTGATCATTATCCCTGATCAGCATTGCTGAAGGGAAATGTTATTTCCACATTGCAACACACAGCAGGGGGGCCTTGGGCTACAGACACTGGATAGCCACAGACCCTCACCTTTCATCTGCGGGGCTGCTGCCCGAGGTGAGGATTAACTCTGAGGCAAAGAGGCTAGACAGAGATGGAGCCTTTCCTCCTCAGTGAGGAAAATAATGGCATGCTGAAGAAATGTAGGCTAAGGAGAGGAGAAAGAGGAGGATGCTCAGGGAATAGGGATAGAAAGACGCAGCTGTGGGAAACAATGAAGGTAGAAATTTCCTCGGCAGACGAGAGGGGTGATTGAGAGAAGAAAAGCGACGCATGGGATTAAGACAGAAAAAGGAGGTTAGGAGTGAAGGTGGGTTCAAGGTGAGTGCAAGAAGGGTTCTGAGATTATCAACGTTCATATATTTGGTATGCACACATTTAAAAGCACGACTACATATTTACACTAAATATTGGTTCATTAAAATTTTCTCTCACCACTAACACAGTCTAGCAGTGTTTGTTCAGTGTTTCAAGTCTGTTATTATTTTATGTTTTTTTTTTAAGTAGAAAAAAAACAGCATTATATAACTCTGATGTTTAATGTACAATTCTTGCCGACCACTGCATATTGTTTTAAATAACCATATCTCAAGCATTTATGGACTAAAATTATTTGACAACAAACGGTAGGTTTGCATTTGCTGAAGTTCTCCTTAGAGCACATGGAGTCCTCTTCTTTATGTTCATGATTTGATTCATTGTTCATTTGGCTGCAACCATTCTAGCAGCAATGCCTTTGGCTCTGCACCCTTTTTGCAAAGTGATGAAAGCACCAGTTTTCTATGGAGGTAACTGTAGTTGACGTAAAAAGATCACCTTCAACTAGTACAAGTGAAACAGATAAGTATGTGGAAAAGTATGATTTTATAAGTTTAAATACCATTTGGCATGACAGCAGGGCTTCTTGAAAAGCATTTACAAGTGTCCAAACGCTAAAAGTCCCTGCTTTCATTTTGACTGAAGTTAAAAATATGCCATTTTACCATTGGCTGTAACACTGTTACAAATGTTTGTAGGGACAAAAATGGCTCTGAGCACAGAATCTTAATGCAACTTACTGCCGGTGAGCTCAAACAACACTTTGTCATTGAGGCCCAGTCTGAGTTCTGGCATTCCTGATAGGACGACTTTGAGCTTTATGCTGCCCACTATTTCACTGCGCAGGACACTGCCGTTGGCATTCACCTATAAAATAGCACACAGAATCATTTCATGTTAGTAAACCTTACTTTTATCCAAATAGCACATGCTTAGAATAAATTCTTTTTAAGATCTGAAGAAAGATCTTACAAATAATCTGAAAATCAGCTTGAATTTGACATGTTGGTTCATAATAACTTCAACCGTCTTTACACTGTAGAAGTGCATACTTTATTCTAACATAGAAGTATATATGAACAGTATCAATGGTTAAAATGTTTCTCACACATTTATGTCTTCTTGTACACACCAGCTTTTGTCCAGTTAGCTGACATTTAAAACACATTTTGTTTAAAAATCTGATCCATTTCATTAATGAATATTTTAATCAATTGGGGAAACTAACTACCCCTCTGTTACATCTGCTGTGTGGCCCAGTAATACTAGATTTTAGTCACATTTAACTGCAGAGGAGATGAAGCCTAAACACCGGAAGAAAACAAACTGGAATGCATAATCCAAAATCTGCTTCTATTAAATCACAATTTAATGTTAAAGTGTCAGTTTCTAATCCGAACAATATCTAATTATGTGATGTATATTCCATTGACTTTATCATTAAAAAGGTAGCTACATTTAAAAGAAGATTGATTAAAAAAAAATGTAAAGCAATCTGATATTTTAATATGCAGGAACACCTTTTTTGATGGTGGAGTCTCTTTATCTTTGTCCATTTACTGAACTTTGAAATGCAGTCAATGACAAAGAAAGAATGCTACAATGAAATATGACTAATAGGTGACTGACATTTCCTTAGCAATTATTTAAAAATAAGAAGTAAACTTTTCAGGAGTCATAACAAGACAGGACCATAATGTCCTTTCAGCTGTGTGATAAAACCTTGATCTTTATAAGTAGACACAAATACAGTATGAGGTGCTCAGAGAATGAATAGAAGAAATATGAAACCCAAATAAATACATAAAACATGCTACCTTTTGATAACCTCTATTTGGTTTTCTACCTTTTGCACTTTGAAAGGATACAAGAATTTATATAAATATTTCTGTGAAAAATTCTTCAGATAAAGGATTTTTTTTATCAAAGTAAGCAAAGATCTTACCAGGAGATTTACGGATTCTATAACATCCATAAAAACTTCATTCTTCCTGTACTTGATGCCCTCTGACCGCCAGGAAACAGCGTTGGTGACGGTGGCAGGTGGCCGAGGTGCCCCTACCTCCAGCTTATGCCCCTGCTGGGTGATGTATCTGATAGAGGGAAGGGAAAAAAGAGACAAGATATTAAAAACAGCTCCTGCTGTGTCCAATGTCACTCAGCAACCCTGCAGAGCAAGACACCTGAAAATATTTAAGAGACAATTCTTTACATTAGAGCCAAAAATAAGGATTCAACTCCTTTAACAAGAGGCTAAAAAAATTAAAACACCATTCATGCAGTAATTAATTGTTATTGATAAAAAATAATGAAAATAAAAATAAGTCTAGGGCTTAAATGGCAGAAGCTTAGGCCTATGAGGACGGCTTTTACTAGTAAGTTAAACGAGTTACTCTGGAGCAAACAAATTAAAAGAGCTTTGTATTCATTTAGTAGGAACCTTATTCATGCTCATAATTGGAAAATAGAGATTTGCATAAATCCATATTAATCGAATGCATGTATTTGTTGGACTATATAGTACTGCCAAAGTAAAGGAGCAGAACTACAGACTTCAAAAGAGAACTAAGCATATAATATTTGTATAAACAACTACTACATCAAGAGTATTGAAGCCTTAACTATTAAAAAGATCATACATTTATTTTAGAAAATCGGAAGGAATGGAGGCAGACCTGAGAACAGAGCTGTGATGTGACTTTGATCCTAAATAACTGTCAGGCCTATCCAAATATTTTCCGTTACCAAGCCATTCCTCACTTCTAAGACAGAAAAACAAATATTCAACACTAGCAACTTTCTGGTGTTCATCAGTAAGACATGTCCAGCGTGTCAAATACAGATAAATGTTATTTTCCAAATACATCCAAACTTAACATGAATCTAATAATTCTGTTGCACAGTGCTGCAATTGTTAGAGCTGTTGACTTAAAGCAGAAAGGTTCTTTTTCCAGATCCCCACCCATGGTTTTTCTGCATGGAATTTGGATGCGATCTATGAGCATGTATGGACTCTAAATGTGTACTCTGATCTCCTCCTACAACCATGATTATTGAGTAAATTTGGTGTTTCTTTCTGGCCTTAGAAGTGATAGTATTTGGATCTTGGTCCCGATTGTCAATGTGCTTTACTATAGTAGACTTTAAAACAGCTCTACTTGTGTACAAGTCTTCTCATGATTTAGCACCAAAGTACATATCTGACATGTTAGAGCTGTATGAACCACCTCGGGCTTTAAGATCCTTAGGGAGAGGTCTCCTGGTGGTCCCTAGAGTCATCACTGAACATGGTGAAGCTGCATTAGGTTTCATGAAGCCAAGGTCCTGAACAGCCTCAGTGAAGACATAAAACAAGCCTAAATCCTGATTATTATTAAGTCCAGGTTGCCTATGTAGTGTTGCCATTGGTGATTGTGTTTTAACTACTTTTATAAATTTTTATTGCTTGAATTAGTTTTATTGTGTTTTTTGGATTGTGTTTGTATTGTTAGTGTTGCTGTGAGGCACATTGACTGTCTGGTGCATAATAAAATGAAAGTTTCCTTCCCTTGCCTAGACTAGCAACCTGACCAGGATGTAGTCTACATCTTGTCCAGTGATTGGTAAAGATGTACGTTAATGTGTCCCATTCCATAATTTGTTTATATTTTTTAGCAGTAGAAACATCCCTGTTCCATGCTGGAAAGCCAAACATGAAAGCTTAATTGAGTTCAAAATTTAAATAGTAAAGGAGATGAGGGAAAAAAGAAATGACATCATCTCTTACCTTAAGATCCAATATGGCTGACACATGTATAAAATGACGTAAGAACTTAACACAGGGTACTAGGGATGGGAATCGAAAACCGGTTCCTTTTAAGAACCGGTTCCGTATTTTCCGATTCCATGGCATCGTTTGGCAGCTCACTGAACGATTCTTTTTTCGATTCCCGCAGCACCAGAGCCTAGAGCGCCGGCTCTGGGGAGCACGACTTACGTCACGTTTTTTACGTAAGTTACGTAAGTTACGCAAGTTACGCAAGTTACGCAAGTTGGAAGAACTATTCGAGGAGGAAGACAACGAGCTGCGGTCACTTTGTGAATCAAAGCCCCGTCTTTCCTTAGCCCAGAGGGTAGATCAGGAAATCCAGCTCTATAAAAGCTTGCCCTCCGTCCCCTGCAGGGATAGCGCCACACTGTGGTGGTGGAACAAGCAAGATGTGCTGCCCTTGCTATCTGACTGGCTGAAAACTACCTCTGTGTGCAGGCTTCCTCCACCCCATCTGAGAGGGTGTTCTCCACGGCTGGAGACACCATAAGCCCTGAAAGATCCTGTATCCTTCCAGAAAAAGCAGATATGCTCATCTTTCTGCAAAATAACTGTTAATTTTCCCTACTACTGTTTTATAATTAGTATTTTTTGTTATTTAAAATAGGTTATTATCCCATCATTTGTTATTAGACATTGTTGGTTATTAAGTTTGTTCTTGTATATTTATTTTTCATTTAAACACAGATGTTACTCCAGTTTCACATTTCCTGTGGACATCTTGATCTTGTTGAGTTTGTAAGAATGTGCAATAGTTAAGTAAACAAAGTTGATTCTGATAATCAAACTGTTTGTTCTCCTTTTTCCCCCAAATTGGAATCGAAAAAAGAATCGATAAAGAATCGAATCGTTTCATAGAATCGAAAAGGGAATTGGAATCGTGAAAATCTTTTCAATTCCCAACCCTACAGGGTACTATACAATCTATTTTAGTGAACACATTTATCATCTGAATAAAACTGTAAGACTGTTTCTGTATTGGAATATACTGCCAATAGTGTTTATCTTGTCATTAGCACAGCAATCAGAAATAGTCTTAAAGGAATAGTACACCCAAAACATGATTAGCCTTCATTTTCTACTCACCCCCATGCTGAACAACACCCTGGAGTACTTTTTTGATATCTCAAATGCATCTGGAGATCTGGGAGGCTTCTTGCTGTCTGCTGACATTCAAATAATGGAGGTCCATGGCGCCCGAGACAGAAAGGTCCATAAAAGTCCACAAAAACGTGTCAATATTCCTCCATACTGCTCGTCCAATGTAATCCAAGTGTCCTGAGTGGGTAGCATCCAGAATTTACTCGAAACGAAGTCATTTAGAATGTTTTTAGAGCATAAACAGTAGTGTATAGGATTTCCTAATAGCGCCCCCATGCGCGCTCACGACGCTACGGAAGCCGGCAGACCAAACCGGAAGAAAGTGCGCATTCAGCGTCTGGTCTGCCGATAATGCAAGCGTAGAAGAAGAAATGTGCTGTTTACCTGTGCAAAGAAAGAAACAACGAAAGAAAAATGTCTGAGGACTTCAGTGTTGAGGAAGAGCATGAGTTCTTTGCCGAGCTGAATGCGCTGGTTTGGTCTGCCGGCTTCCGTAGAATCGCGAGCGCGCATGGGGGCGCTATTAGGAAATCCTATACACTACTGTTTATGCTCTAAAAACATTCTAAATGACTTCGTTTCGAGTAAATTCTGGATGCTACCCACTCAGGACACTTGGATTACATTGGACGAGCAGTATGGAGGAATATTGACATGTTTTTGTGGACTTTTATGGACCTTTCTGTCTCGGGCGCCATGGACCTCCATTATTTGAATGTCAGCAGACAGCAAGAAGCCTCCCAGATCTCCAGATGCATTTGAGATATCAAAAAAGTACTCCAGAGTGTTGTTCAGCATGGAGGTGAGTAGAAAATGAAGGCTAATCATGTTTTGGGTGTACTATTCCTTTAAGATGAGCAAGAGAAATCGTGGTTTAATTGGATTTAAGACCATTATCAGACCTATGTGACAACTTCAGAGGTAAGTACTGTAGCCATCAGCGTCTGCCCTCCCCCTCGGTCATTTAGAACAATAGTTCATGATTTGGCATATTCAAAATCTTTGTGAACAGCTCACTAAGAGTTTATTACTTTCTGATAAGTGAATTCACTGCAATAAAAAATGATGCACAATTACTAAAAAGTATACCGATTTATACAGGATCCAGTTATCTTTCAAAGAACTGCACAAAAGGGATTACCTCATCCCCAAGCGAGTCTATTAGTTTTAGAAGCCTTTCATTTCTCCAGAGAAATAATCACATGTCATGAGAATAAAAAAGGGAGCTCTAGTAAGATAAACAACATGTGACCAGGCCTGCTGCAACAAAACCACCTGATCACTACAGTTTACTTATTATAAGCCTAATTTACTCTGCAGAGCAATCTGAGGTTTATGTCATATTGTATTCCTGGAATCTGCATGATAAGAAAACACAAAATGACAACATTTGGACATTACATGGCAACCCTAATTGAGGTGCATATAACTAACCATTATGACCAACCTAATTACCAAAATGTATTTGCAGACATGGTTTATTGACTATAGATAATTATAACATCAGAACACCTTAATTGTTTGACAATCTATAAGATGTAATCCCCCAATAAAAGCAGATCTAAGAGAAAAATACAACAGACTATTAAAACATTCTATGGGCAAGAACACATTCCTATATTATTTGAAAGTTAGATTATAGGTTCAATGATTCAGATTCTTAAATTAGAAGAAAAAAAATAATGCAAAATAAGTCTTAGCAACACTCCAGAAGGTTTTTGTACAGAATTTAAATGGGTAATATAACACTGTTTGCCAAGAGGAATCCAAAGCAAATAGATTAAGTTAAGTATCAAATATTAACAACACATAAAAAACAAATATTTAACAGGGTCTGACCAGGAGAAGGTTGTTAGTATATAAGAATCACTATCAGATATTGGTAGAGCTTCTATCGTGTCCCTGACTGTGTCATATATGACCACATACTTTTATGTATGTGGGGGCTTTTTGTATTTTTTTACTTCATAGAAATGTTCTTTGTTTGTTAGATAATTAGCCCAATAAGAAACAACTGTTCAGTTTGATCCGTTGTCTCTGTGTTTTATTGTCATTGTTAAATCTGTTACAACATGGGCTACAGACATCATGAAAGCCTCCTGCATTGTTTTTAAAAACTAATTAAATATTAAGTATGAGAAGAAAAAAAATCTCTACAATGGAGAATAATTTTAACATATTGAC